TTGAATACATCCAAAAAATTTTGAAATTGCTTGTCGAGATTATGTTTCTATAGTCTCTGTGGAAATGGGATCGGAGGAACATATGCTTTGACAGGGGTGGTTGCCTTTATCTGCGAACTCTCTAGTGCGTCACTTTGATTATTCTCCATAGTTTTGTCGGATTCATCTACATGCTCATCAACTAATGCAGGTACCTTTTCTGTACCAGATCTTTTCACATGTATTTCTGGTAACTGGAATCCACTTCGTGTAGTGATTGCCTTGACATGCTCCCTGGGATTAGTCTCAGTATTGCTCCCCTAAGTTCTTTCTGTTGTTCCCAATTCTTAATTGAGGCCTGTTGATTCTGAAAATTGGTCTCAGTCTTTGTGATGTACTGAGATAGCAGATCTTCCAATGATGACTTCTTCTCTTGTTGTTGATGATTTTGGAATCTTGGTGGCCTATTTTGGTTATTTCCTCCTTGTCCCTGATTATTTGACCATGAGAAGTGTTGGAGTAGGGATTGTTTTGTTGCCTTGGGAAGTTCTGTGCATAGATAACCTCTTCATGCTGCGAAACTTGTATAGATGCCAATGGGCAGCGTGTGGTCAGGTGGTCTGCTCCACAACCTTCGCATATAGGCGATGATTGGTGTACCATGTTGACTGATTGAGATAGATTATCCATTTTCGCTGTGAGAGCCTCTATTTGTACTGCCAATGCTATCATTGCATCCACATTGTGCACCCCAGTTATTTTCCTGGGAGCTTCCCTTTCAATTGGCCATATTGATTGATTCTCAGCTATCTTCTCATATAGTTCATATGCATCATATACGTCAAGTTTCATCAATGTTCATCCCGCTGAAGTATCTATCATGTTTCAAAACTCCTGGTGTAGTCCATTATAGAAAAGATATTGTTTAGCGTGCTTCGGAGCGTCCAAGCTTGGGCATTTTCTAAACAGATTCTTGAACCTCTCCCAAGCTTCAGAATAGCTCTCTAAATCTTTCTGTTTGAAGGTGCGGATTTCATTCCTGGTTTGATGAACTCTAGAGGGTGGAAAGAATTTCATGGTGAATTTTTGAACTATATCATTCCATGATTGTATACTGCCTGGAGGTAGACTGAAGAACCATGCCCTAGCAGCATCTTTCAAAGTATGAGAGAATAATCATGTTCGAAATGCATCTGCCGATATCCCTTCATGACTAATAACTTCACATAACATGAGAAATGCTAAGATGTGCTCATGAGGGTTCTCCGTGAATTTCCCGAAAAACCTGATGTCTTGATGATTTTGGAATAGATTTATGACATCCGGTCTGAGGTGGAAGTTGGGTTGTCCGAATAGAGGATAGATCACAGCGGGTTGTACTAGAGCAGGAATTGGATTGACATAGTCCCCAACTAAAATGGGAGCTTCATTTTGGATGGCTCTCTGTTGATTTAGCTGCGGAGGTTGATTGTGCATTTGACCCTGAGCTTGATTCTGTAGTTGATTCTGATTATCAGCTATTCTCCATGCTTGACGTTGTCCTCTTCTGCGGTTTCTGAATGTCCTTTCAATTTCGTGATCTATTGGAGCTATATCAACCTCTTCAGGGGCTTGCATACACCATGTTTACCTGAAAAGAGTCAAGACAAAAGAGAATGAAGCAAAGTGATACTAGCCTCAAACAACAAAAATAACAATAA